TCTCTCCCAAGTGTCCTGGCCAACAACCCACCCAATAAACTGGCCATTGACTTCACGGTTGTTTGTGGGCCTTTGGTTGCGTGCAGACCGGTTGCCACATTTGACCAATATACAGTCACTACATTAGACAGTGATTCCCTGTGAAGCGCTTGATGTTGTGACATTCTGGGCGCAGTGTGTGAGATGCAACAATTGTTATAATTGAGACATTTGAGGGTTGCCAACTCTGTGTCTCCTCACTCTTTCCTTTTCATTTGACTCTCTCACCCTTAATTCTCAACCCTTCACGCGTTCAGCCCACAGAGAGTTAAGGAATCTCTCTTTCTGTTGCCGTTCCTGCCATCTTCCTGCCACGATGGTTGATGTCCCGGGTTCTGCTGCGTTTGCGGAATTCGCAGAGTTTAATGCGCAATTAAAGGTATTGGTTTGTTTGGAGCGCCCGTTAGTTTAATTACATCACTTGTGGCAATGATTTCTTCAGAAATACTCGCTTTGCGTTCCAAGTTGCTGCAAGCACCATCCTTCGGATGAGATGTTAAACAACAAACAACAACAAATTTCATTTACATAGCGTCTTTCGCATCGGGAGGACGTCTCAAAGCGCTTCACAGACTATACTGTAAAGTGGATTGACTATGTTTTGTGGGCGAAACATGGCCGAGTCTCGGTATCCTGGTCTCTTCCACCTTTCCTGGCAACCGGCTCCAGTCATTGGTTACCTTCTGAGCAAGGTTTATTTTTCGTATGAATACAATGGTAAAGATTATGCTGAAAATACAGATTATGTTGTGGAGTCCTGTATTTTAGCAGTTAGAGCACTCGCCTCGCAAGCGATTCCCGGGTTGGGCGAAACTTTAGGCAGGTTTCCTTACTCCGCGCACACCTCTGCTTACCTCGCAGTAAGTAGGAATCCAGTTGTTAGTCGATTGGCGAATCGCTTTTTCCTTTATAACAATCCGTTCGAAAAAAGAACCAAATAGTTAATAATAAATTGATCACTTCAATTCACGGCTGTTTGTGGGACGTCTCTGTGCGCAATCAATCGTGTTTCGCCCACAAAGCACACTTTACAGTGTATCCCGTGAACCCGCCTTGAGACGTCTCGAAGACGTGATAAGGCACTGTATCGAGTGCAAGGATTATTTTTCTTATCTATTATTGATATCAATAATAATTGTAGAGTGAGCCGACTGGAGAGTGGGGGGTTAATGACTGCCTGGCTCCGGGATGTGTGTCCCTGCAGTACTGAGGTGCAGCTGTTGCTCCAGAGTTCTGTCTGTCAGAGGCAACGTTACTGCACTGGCTTCTGAGCTGGATAAGAACAGAACGAATGGCCTCGTTTAACCAGGACGGCCTCACAGATAGCCCACGTTTAAGTTCCAACCCGATTACTTATTTTCAAAAAGCTTTTTTAGCCCTGTGCGTCTTTCGTAGCTGTCAAAGCTGGCCGGAGTTTACTCAGCTACAGGAAACAACAGCAATACATTACACTTACACAGGGCCGTTCACGTCGGGAGGACGTCCCAAGCCGTTGGACAGACAGGGATTTGGACACGAGCTGGGGGTCGGGATCAGGAGGGATGGAGGTCAGGGAGGGTGGAATGGATGGAAGGTTGACCGAAGGTGCGGCTGAAGGGGAGGGTCTTGAAAGAGGCTTTGAAGGAGGCAAGGGAGGGAACGAGGCGAAGGACTGTGGGATGGAGGTCCAAAGGACGGGGGCAAGAGGCTGGGGGCAAGATCGCTGATAGTGGACCAGACGAAAGCCTGCTGAGCGGAAGGAGTGGATAAGTTGATATGGAGTTAGTTGGAGACAGGAAGCCTGCTGAAGACGGGGGTTAAGTCTGCATTGAAGACTTTTCCACAATTCAGAGTGATAGCTTTTTGGGGGTAATAATCCCTCCAAATAAATCAATAAATAATGATAATTTGGTCACTCAATCCATGGCTGATTCTGGGACACTTCCGCACGCCATTCACTGCTGTGTTTCGCCCGCCCACAAAATATAGAGTCACTGCACTTTACAGTATATTCTGCAAAGCGCTTTGAGACGTCTGAACGATGTGATGAAGGGCTATATCAAATGCAAGGATTATTATAAAGCAGTGGTGAGAGGAAGATGGGACCCGAGCCAATGAATACGGTGCTTCAGACAAGTTATTTTTCCATGAATAACAAGCTGCATTTTTATAGTGCCGCCTTTCATGTCGAACGACCATCTGGAAGTGCTTGACGGAGATGGTAGGGAGCACTGAACAGTGAGGAGAGGAAGGAGAATGTAAGGATCTTGGCAGAAGGCGTGGTCAGTGAGGTCTGAAGAGGAGTTTAAAGGCGAGGAGAGAAAACAATAATAATAATCCCTGCATTGGATATCACGCATTATCATTTCAACACGTCTCAATACATCGTGAAGAGTATTTTGTGAGCGAAACGCGGCAGCCAGTTGCACACAGCAACGTCCCACAAACAGCCAGGGAGAAGGTAACTCATTTTATCTGGGGGATTCTTTGAACAGGACACCGGGAGAGAGCAATTCCCTTCTCTTTTCGAATAGCGCCACGGGATTTTTAAACGTCCACCTGAACAGGGAGTAAGGTTTAAGCCAAAGGGACATTTGGGGAAGAGTGTGCCTAACAGCAGGGTCACCCTCCTACCCCTGCCCTCCTGATCCCAACTCCCAGCTCGGGTCCAAATTCCTGACTGTCCAGCGCCTTGGGACATCCCACCCCGATGTGAAAGGCACCTTGTAAAATGTCATTTGTGGTTGTTGTAACCAGTGAGAGACCGAGTATTGAAACCAATGTAACTTGACCGACGAAGCTTTATTCCACTCACCTCCATCTTTTCCTGTGGAGCTGGGAACGTGCGGTCAATGTAATAGGACTTTCTGAATTCGTATCTAAAGTTTAAATAAACTGCGCAGCGTGTGAGTTGTGGACACGGGCATGGATACACCGATTTAGCTTTCGCACAATGGTAAGAGGTTTGTGTTGGTGGGGTAACGCGCATTGCGTACAATCCCTCAGCATCGCAAAGGCTCCCCCGGGCTGCTCGTGTTGTGTGATTTCCCCCCTGTTCTGCTGACCCCTGAATTCAGATCACGTATTCTCACCCGTACCCCCATCACTCCAGCCCTCGCCTGGTTCCACTGGTTCCCTAACACAGAACGCATGGATTTTGAGACTGGTTGATAAATCCCTCCCAGCCCTGGCACCTCCACTCGGCTGGCTCTGGCCTCCTGCTCATCCCTCGTCCCCTCCGCTCCACCATCGGCGGCCGCACCTTCAGCCACTACGCCCCAAAGCTTTGGAACACTCTCCCTTGATCCCTCCACCTTCCCAGCGCCCTTCTTCCCCTTCTTTTAGATCGCGACTGAATCACTGAACAACCGTGCTTACGGTCACCTCCTCCCTTTCCCCCCCGGCTCCGATACGCTGCCCCGGGTGAAGGGCGCTGTTGAAATGCAAAGTTTGTTGTTGAATGGGCAATCAGCTACATTTGTCCAACCTCATGCTCTCATAGTCTCTCTCACTCTCTCTTTCTTAACTCTCTCACACATACTCTCACTCTCTCTCTCTCTTCCCCCTCTCTTTCCCCCCTCTGATCGAGTGAGCCAATGAGCTGCTTAAATCCAGTCTTGTATTCGCTTCTGAGCCTCCAGTGTTCTTGACGTTATACAATGGAGGGACGGAGTTCAGACATTGCGCACGGATCGGGGACCTTGTACAACCCAACGTGCACTGAACCATGGAGAAGGTCCCTTTTGTTTAAAGGTCCCCTTTCTGAGTCAGCGTGGCTCACTCGCATCCCTGTAGCTCAATGGTTGGAGCCCTCGCCTCACAAGCGAGAGGACCCGGGTTCGATTCCCGGACAGGATGGACCTTGGGCAAGTCTCCTTACTCCCCACACACGCCTCCATTTACCTAGCAGTAAGTGGGAACCAGGTTGTTAGATGATTGGCAGGTTGACTTTCCTTGGATAATAATCCCTTTAAAAAATTGATAAAAAATATTAATTTGGTCACCCAATCCAAGAATGTTTGTGGGATAATCTTGTGCGCAATTGGCTGCCGCAAAATATCCTCTTTACAGAATATTCTGTGAAGAGCTTTGAGACTGGTCAACGGTGTAATAAGGCGCTGTATCAAATGCAAAGAGTAATTATTATTGTTGTTGGTCACAATCTCACCTCTAGGTTTCAAGGTGTTCAAACTCCAGACTCTGTCCAATAATTTGGCAGATATTTTAACGTTTTAGTATTAAAGAAATCTTCCAGTGAGCGAGACGTTATTTTGCGTGAAGCATTCATTCTACGTAAATGCAAGATATTGTTGAAAAGAAAGGTGATATAAAATAGCCTCCAACAGAAATCCTTTCCACTTCTTGACATTCCTGAGAGGAAACGAGATGGGAGATTGATGGGGAGAAATTCCATATGGATTACTTTATCATGACTGTATTTTGTAGGCTTCAAAGTTAACAATGAGTTTGACAAATAATAATAATCGCATTTGATATAGCGCCGTATCACATCTTAAGAGTCGTCTGAAAGCGCTTCACAGAATATACTGTAAAGTGGAATATTTTGTGGGCGAATCGCGGCAGCCAATTGAGCACAGCAGCGTCCCCCAAACAGTCGTGGATCGAGCGACCAAATTATTATATATTTCCGAAATCAATATTTATATATTTATTTACTTTGAAGGAATTATGAACCCCCCCCCGGAAAAGCGATCCGCCAATCGAATAACAACTGGGTTCCTACTGAACAGAGGCGTTTGGAGTAAGGAAACTTGCCCAAGGTTTGTCCTGCCCGGGAATCGAACCCGGGGTCCTCTCGCTTGTGAGGCGAGCGCTCTAACCACTGAGAGCTGCAGAACTCCGGTATGGAATCAGAACATTCTGAGCCGGGTTCGCTTGGGGCTCAACGATATTGGGAGCTGCGTTCACTAAGATGTCCTTTTGTCGCTCGAGTGTGCAATGGAATGGAAGTCTCGTCCGAGTCTACTTTACTCTGTTTTTAATTGAAAGTTGAGAATCATTCTTCTGACAGAACGCACAGCCATTGATTTTTTTTTACATGCTGTTTGATGCAAGTTAGAATGATAAACATTACTCACTGGCAAGAGACTGCCGAGTCCTTTTTTTTTTGTTCCGAATCGAGCTGAAGGAAATAAATAGCAGTAAAACACCCATGCACTGTTCAACCTGCGGGACTGTACAATTTTTTAAAAAATAAATAAAAACAGAAACCGGTTCATCTCCGAAAATCCGACGGGCGGTAAGAAACGGGGGCGATTGATTCCTTTGCTTCTCTGAACGCTTCAACCATCGAACGTGTAACGTCCCGAGTCGTTTGCGCTTTGGAGATATTAAACAGTTAACGCTGTAACTGCTCCCTCTCTCCCCCCCCACACCTCTCCCCTTCCCAAACCTCAGCAAGTAGATCAATCGGGATTTTAAGTATGAGAGGTTTGCCTTCCTCTCGTTCAGATAAGCACAGGTTCGGGTGCGAAGACTGAAAGGCAATGAAGTCCCAACACTCTTGGAATTAAGCGTTGTAGGGTTTCCCCCTTTGCCCTGGAGTAAGAGCAGTTGAGTGGTGGTGCATTGGTGCTTTGCATTGACGTTTCTTTCAAGGAGACTGGACGGGCAACGAGGCTGATGTCAGACTTGGGTGGTTAAGGGCTTTCTGTTCTGTAGCTGTCCATTGTCATTGGTGCAAAACCCATCCAAGATATCGTTCTGAATCGGGTCACAAAGGTGGTCGATAAGGTCCTCGTCCATCTCCGTACTCTTCTCTGTCAGCGCTTGCAATTGGGTGTTGGCAGGAGGGAGGTAGGGGCAAGTCACCACGTGAGTAAATTGGAAGTTATCCTGGCTCTCGATCTCCCTGTGGTAGAAGTAGCTAAAGTTGGAAACAATCACAGGTACGGGCAAGGAGATGGTGAGGACTCCAGCAATGGCGCAGAGAGAGCCCACGATTTTGCCTCCCAGCGTGATGGGCGACATGTCTCCATACCCCACAGTGGTCATGGTGACAACTGCCCACCAGAAGGCCTCGGGGATACTGGTGAAGAGTGTGTTGGCATCATCCGCCTCGGCAAAGTAGACGGAGCTCGAGAAGAGGATGACTCCGATGAAGAGGAAGAAGATAAGGAGCCCCAGCTCCCTCATGCTGGCTTTGAGGGTCTGACCCAGGATCTGCAGTCCTGTGGAGTGCCGGGATAGCTTGAAGATCCTAAAGACCCTCACGAGACGGATGACCCTGAGGATGGCAAGGGACATGGCCGGCTGTGCTACCCCACGCTGCCTGGCAAACTCGGTGCCCAGGGCCACAAAGTAGGGAATAATGGCCACAAAGTCAATGATGTTCATGATGTCCTTGAAGAAGGCGGGCTTGCTGGGGCAAACTATCAGCCTGAGCAGGAGCTCGAAGCTGAACCAACAAATGCACATCGTCTCAACCATGAAGAAAGGGTCTTGGAAGGCACTTTGACTGCTCGACTCATGAGTGTTGTTCCCTCGATTGGTGTACACGGGCAATATAGCGTCCTTCTCCTCCTTAAACTCGGCAGGGTCTCCAGGCAGAAGATGACGATGGAGATGAGGATGACAAGGACCGAGATGAGAGCCACGATCCTGGCCGGGGCTGAACTCTCCGGGTACTCAAACAGCAGCCAAATCTGCCTCTGGAACTCATTGTCTGGCAGGGGCCGTTCCTCCTCTTTGGTGAAGCCCTCGTCTTCGCGAAACCTGGTGATGGTGTCGTCGCCCAACTCGTAGAACCTCAGCTCTTCCATGAAGACGTCGAGGGGGATGGTGGACGGCCTCTTCAGCCGGCCCCCGCTCTGGTAGTAGTAGAGGATGGCGTCGAAGCTGGGGCGGTTCCTGTCGAAGAAGTACTCGTTCCTCAGGGGGTCGAAGTAGCGGATTCTCCTGTGAGGATCTCCCAACAAGCTGTCCGGGAACTGGCCGAGAGTCTTGAGTTGGGTCTCGAAACGCAGTCCCGACACATTGATGACTACTCGCTCACATCCTTCATGATTTCCTTGGCTGCAAAGCTCGTAGGGAGAGGGGGGTTTATCCATGGTCTAACTATCTTGTCTATCTATCTATCTGTCTATCTGTTCCCCCTCTCCCTCCCCTCTCCTCCCTCTCTCTCTCTCTCTCCCTCCCTCCCTCCCTCTCTCCCTCTGTGGTTGATCAGGAGCAGATAGGAAGCGTTCACATTGCTGACCAGCTTGGCTCTGCACAAAACCAGGAGGGAGGGTTTGGGGAAGATCTCCCTTTTTTCCCCCACCCCACCCCCTCTCTTTTCTCTCTCTCTCTCTCTTTCTCTCTCACATGCTCTCACTCACTCTCTCAATCTCTCTTTCTCTTTCTCTCCCTCTCTCCCCCTCTCTCTCTCTGTGCAACATTGAACACTATATCGTTTTGCAGACAGAGCCCCTCCTCGGGATCAAGTTCAGCTTTTGAGCCAACTCTCGCTGATAGCGCAAAAATAACCTGCCCAGGAGACGCCTCTTTAACACTGTGAGTGTCGGCACTGTGTGCGTGTGTGTCTGTCTGTCGATCTGCGTCTCTGTCTGTGTCTCTCTTTGTGTCTGGGTCTGCTTTGGGTGTGCAAAGAAATCAACCATCGTTGCTTCAGGTATAGAGATCACCGCTTTCTTCACCCACCCCTCATCTCCCTCGTTTATACACCCCCTTCTGTCTCTCTCTCTCTCTCTCTCTGTCTCTCCCCGCTTGCAGACAGGTCCGACTGACGTCCCACACCCCCCCCCCATCGGGCCGGATGCGGCCCGCGGGCCGGAACCCCCATTTTCCACCCCCATTTCATCTGGTCCACCCGCTCCCTCCATAGGCAGTAAACGTCACCTTATGTTTCTGGAAGGCAAAACCCCCAAAATATTGTTCATGCGTCACCTTTATTTCAGGTGCGAATCTAATTGTTTATTCTTTTATTGGTAGCAAAAATAATAATAATTAACCTTGCATTTGATACGGCGCCTTATCATGTCGTCGAGACGTCTCAAAGCGCTTCACAGCTTATACTGTGAATTGACTTGTGTATTTTGAGGGCGAAACGTGGCAGCCAATTGCGCACAACAGCGTCCCCAGTCGTGGATTGAGTGACCGCATTTTTTTTGGGTGAGTTGAAAAATTAACTTCTTAAATTGTTTTTCCGGCTTCCTATGTTCCTATATTCTGTGTCTTATTAATAAATGTGGTCACTCGATCCACGGCTGTTTGTGGGGACGCAGCTGTGCGCAATTGGCTGCCCACAAAATACACAGTCACTCCACTTTACAGTGTATCCTGTGAAGCGCTTTGAGACACATCAACGATGTGGTAAGGTGCTGTATCAAATGCAAGGATTATTATTGAAGGGCAAGTTGGGGTGTTTCCCATTCCCATTGAAAGGGTTTTAATGCTGTAACCGGGAGACTTGCGGGGTGGGTAATTCTGGGAGGATGAGATCAAATGGGCCAAAGGGCTCTCTGGCTTCTGCCTCCCATGATTAATGTCGGAGCACGTGGCTTTGGAGTGGAAGTTAACCCAAGATAGTGATGTGCTGCTCACCCATCCCACTCAACACTAAATGCAAACAGTGCCATTTGGGCTCAAGTCGGTAGGACTCTCGCCCCCGAACCAGAAGGTTGTGGGTTCAAATCCCAAAACCTTCGGGACATTGAGCTCACGGTCCAGTGCAGTTCTGGAAGGAGCACAGCATTGTCGGAGGTACCATCCTTTGGATGAGATTAAACCGAGATGGGCTGTTCGGGGGGGGGGTGGTGGGGGGGTGGCGTTAAAGAAGTGAAGCCCTTGAGACGTCCTCCCGACATAAGGCGCTATTTCAGGTGCAAGAATTGTTGATTTTAAAGGAGTCGGTTCCAGGGGGTACGGCGGGGAACTGGGAGATCAATGGGACTGAAAGGATTGGTCTTAAAAGAGCCAACGCAGACACGATGGACCGAATGACCTTCTCCTGAAAATTGCTAAGGTCTTTTTCTAATCCAGGGTGTCCAAAAAGTCGCGATACCATTATAAAGTCTAATAAGTCTTAAAAGAAATCTTGACATTTTATTTAAATAATAAGGTAGATATGGCAACTTTTTGGCCACCCGGTATTACTTGCGCAAAGTGTGAATGCTTTGTGGAAATCCCGCTCCACGATTATTGCCTTACACTTGCCCCCAAAAATAAAAGAATAATTTAGTCACCGCAATCCACGGCTGTTTGCGGGGACGCTGCTGTGCGCAATCGGCTGCCGCGTTCGCCCACAAATACACAGTCAATTCACTTTACAGTATATTCTGTGAAGCGCTTTGGGACGTCCTCTCGACGTGAAAAGCACTATATCAAATGCAAGGATTATTATTATTATTATTATCCTGTGAAGCGCTTTGAGCCGTCTCGAAGACGTGGTGAGGCGCTGTATCAAATGCGAGGATTATTATTATTATTAATTATTATTCGCTCCGGATCTCTCCATAGTGTCCCACGGCTGGAAAAGCCACGTCGCCAGTTGTCACAATGAAACAATAACCCACAGGTTTGCTGATCCACAGCTCAGTTTCCCCTTATTGTTGACGCACAGCCTGAAAGCCCTATTTAAAAATAGCAATGTGCGTGTCTGTACACTCAGCTCTGCAATGCACGTCACACGCGCGCTCCATCTCTCGGGAAAAAGTCCCAACAGTTGGGATGTTTGGCTCGGTCACTCCCAAGTAAGAACCACTCCCAACTCCGGGTTCTGCGAGCTCCGTTACCTCCGCGGCTCCCGCTCCCTCCGCTCGGGCCTGCTCCACCTTCCCCCCACCACCCACATCATCGGCGGTCGGGCCTTCAGCCTCTGTTCCCCCCCACCACCACCCTTTGGAACTCCATCCCACATTCCCTTCACCTGGCTCACTCCCTCGCCTCCTTCAAGGTGCGTCTCAAGATCCTCCTCTTCTTTGACCGTGCCTTTGGCCACCTTCCTACCCCCCGCCCTCAACCCCTCCTGATCCCAACTCCCTACTTGGGTCCAAATTCCTGATTGTCCAGCGCCCTAGGACGTCCACCCGATGTGAATGGCACCATGTGTTGTTGTCTCCAGCCTCGTCTCTACTTAGCAGAGGCATGCGCACCTTGCCTGGGATATTTGAGGATTTTGGTACCTGTTGCAGTGATATATTCCATCACGCCCTCTCACCTCCCTACCCCTCCGACCTGCTTTCTCCTCACTCCACTACTCGCTGGCGCCAGTCGGCTGGCTCCAGCCTCCCTGCTCGCCCCTCATCCCCTCCCCACCAACTACATGCCGAAGTTTTGGAATAGAGGGCCCTTCACACGTGGGGGTAGCGCGTGAACAAGAACCTAGTCCGGATCGTGAAGGGTTACAGATCCCCTCCCAGGTGAAGGTTTTTCCAGTCCTTATTTGTGGCAGCCTTGCATCAAACGTCTTGAGGTGAGGTATAATTTATCTACGCTGATTTATGCTGTTGCTAAATTAAGCCGTGTGAGATGTTGGAGAGATGTAATTGAAGAGGGCAGCAGATCCCTGGCCAGAATCCTCCTGAGTAGCGAGAGATCAAATGTCACCACTGCTCAAACTACAAACCTGCTCCCAACTATTGCCCCAAAGTCAGCCATTAAATGGTTCTTCCACCAAGTTTCAACCCTCTTCATTCCAGCTTCCGACCACTCAAGCTGTGACTGTAGCGCGCGCGTGTGCGTGTGCGTGTGTGTGTATGTGTGTGTGTCGACTACACTAATTCCTTGCTTGTCGGCCTTCCCAACTCTTCCCTCCACAAGCTGCGGACCATTCAGAACTCTGCAGCTCATGTCCTCTCCCACACCAGGCTCCGTGACTCCGTCACCCCCTCCTCCACCCACACCCCCCGCCCCCCCATTCTCGCACCGGCTCCACTGGCTTCCAGTCTCCGGTTCAAATTCCTCATCCTCGCCTTCAAAGCCCTCCAGCTCTATTCTCCCGTCTAAACCCTCTGCCCTTCCAACTCTGCCAGTCCTCATTCCCTCTGTCACCACTAGTTGGCAAGACATCAGCCATTGCGCCTTCAATCTCTCACACTCCTTCCCCCCCCCCCCCATCCCTTTTGTCTTGCGCCTTCTCTTTACAGTATATTCTGCGAAGCACATCATAATAATGATCCTTGTATTTGATATAGTGCCTTATCACATCGTTGAGATGTCTCAAAGCACTTTGCAGGATATATCCTGTGAGGTGTAGTGACTCTGTATTTTGTAGGTGAGACGTGGCAGCCAATTGCACACCGCAAGTGTCCCACAAACAGCCGTGGATTGAGTGATCATCATATGTCCCTTTTTTCTGTAGTTATTTCTTCCTGGAAGCTTCAGTAGAATGGACAGTGACAGTATCGGGCACCAAGTCACTGGGGAATTGGAGGAGAGCCTGTGATTTTGGCTCTCGTCTAATCGTTGCCCAACAAGCGAGTGGGAAATGGAAACGTATCCACTGGAACATTGGGTCAACGACTGCCCTTTCACCTCCGGGTTTAGATTCAAATAAACACCAGCTGCAACTGGAGTTTCCCAGGCGTGAAAGGTCACCATTTGATCCCCCGCTTGGCCCGCATCGCTCTCTCCAATTCCTGGGACTCCAGAGACCACTGGAAGCTGTGCTCCTGTCCTTGTGGCGACCTTTGCTGGATTATACAAAGGTCTTACTTAGATAGTGTGTGACTCACTCGGCTGATGTCCGCTGCCTTTCCCATTGCAGCGATGCTAACCCGACCTTATATTGTGCTCGAACTGGATCTGTCTTTCGTTGGGCGAGTTTGGACGAGGGCGGTAAATCGGCCAGGACACCGGGGGCCAACTTCCCGCTCCTTCCTCCGAATCGGAGCCACGCTTGAAAGTTTCAGCCAAATTTCAGCACCTCCCGACATTGCAGGACTCCCCCCCACCCCACCCCCCCCACTGCGGTGCAGCCTGGATTAATGACAGCATTAATGACTGGTGGATAATTAGAGCCAGGCCGCCTTCACACATCCCTTCAGATAGTAATAATAATTGCAATCCTTGCGGTTGATGTAGGGCTTTGGCTTGTCAGCGCTCCAGGACGCTATCCTGCGCGAAGGGCGCGATACAAGTGCAAGTTGTTGTTGCTGAGACGTCTCAAAGCGCTTCACAGAATCGGATTGACTATTATTTTGTGGGCGAAATGCGGCAGCCAATTGCGCACAGCAGCGTCCCCACAAACAGCCGTGGACTGAGTGACCGAATTATTATTATTTTTTTAGAGAGGGGATTGATCAATTACCCCGGAAAGCGGATAATTTAGGAGTGCGGCCAGGGGGCTGGGGGTGGGGGTGGGGGTGGGGGGGGGAAACAGGGGAGACAAACTGAGGGAAGAGGGTGTTTAGACTGTAAGATATTGCCGAGATCCTCGCGTATAGCTTCTGCCTCACGGTGTCTCCCTGGCACATTTGGGTGACTTCGCTGCCCCCAGCTGGTGGAGCGGTGAACTTCACGTCACGTCACGTTGGGATTTATTGTTGGGGGGTGGGGGGGTGGGGGGGGGTCAGCCGATTAGGTCCGACCCACGATGGAAACCCACCACCGTGGCTTAAGAGCCTCCAAAACCAACCTGAGATTTCTACGCATCCCACACCTACGTGGAAATCCCAGAGGTAGATTGTTCCAACACACTCTCTCTCTCTCTCTCTCTCTCCCTCTCTCTCTCCCCCTCTCCCTGAGGGACGCACCCTGCTCGCCTAATTCCGGAAAGTATTAGGCGCAGGTTGGCGGTGTCAGTCTGGCTCAATTGGTTGCACTCTGGCCTCTGAGACAAAAAAGGTTGTAGGTTCAAGCCCCTACCCCATGTCGTTAGGCTGACACACTAGTATGGTGGTAGGGGGGCGGGGGGGGGTGGTTGTGTTATCCGAACTGCTGTCCTTTGGGTGAGATGTTAAGCTGAGACACCGTCCGCCTGTTCAGGCGGGCGTTAAAGATCCCATGATGTTATTTGAAAGGGGAGGGGGGTTCCTCTTCTCTCCGGGTGTCCTGGCCGACAAACCCGCTTTGTGACAGTGTGCGGGACGTTGCTGTAGTGTCCGCGTAACGAACCCAACGCTTGAAAGTAAAACCAGCGCAGTGCTTTGAGACGTTCCTGGCGATGTGAGAGGCGCTGCATCAAAATGCAAGGGTTACGTCCCATCTTTTCTGTCGGCCGACAACGCAAAGGACTGTGCAGATGTGGCCACGAGATGGCGTTAAACTACGACAGCAAAAGTTAGTGTTGCCGTTTAGTTCTCGTTAGGATTTTTCTGTTTACTCATATCGCAGAGCTGAATGGGTTGAGGGCTCCCAATAGTGGAGCCCTGTAGCGCAGTGGTTAGATCACTCGCCTCACAAGCGAGAGGACCCGGGTTCGATTCTCGGGCAGGGCAAAACCTTAGGCAAGTTTCCTTACTCCACACAAACACACAGTTTACTTTTTCTTACTCCAAATGCCTCTGTTTACTCAGCAGTAAGTTAGAACCCAGTTGTTGATCGATTGGCGGATCGCTTTCCGGGACTAATAATCCCTTCACCGTTTTTTAAATAAATAATTATTACAGTTCGGTCCGTCGATCCACGACTGTTTGTGGGACGCTGCTGCGCACAAAGTATACTTTACAGCGTATCCTGTGGAGCACTTGGAGACGTGTATTAAATGCGAGAAATATCCCTGGAAGAGGTAACGCGGAGCTTAGAGTAAACAATTTCACACAGTCTAGGACTTTGCCAAAAGCGGCTGTTGAGGCAACAAAGCATTTCGAAGGGAACTGGATAAGGATTTGAGAGAAAGAATATAAAAGAGAAAGGGCAGAGCCATTGTCCATATCCTGTGCTGTGATTTCTCTCTGGATATTTCCAGAATATCTCAATGTTTTGGAAATGTGGATGAATAGGGAACGTTGAATTGACGTTGAATTGTCGTTGAATTGTCCTGCGTTATGGTAGAAAAGAACTGGCGCTTGAAAGCATCGTCGGTGTAGTGAAACCGGTGCAGTGGCCGAGCTGTTTATCGAGAGGACTATTGGCCGGGGCGCCGAGAGAGAGAGAGAGAGAGAGAGAGAACAATCCTCGCACTTGATACAGCGCCTTATCACGTCGTTGAGACGTCACAAAGCGCTTCACAGAGCATACTGCAAAGTGAATTGACTCTGTGTTTTGCGGGCGAAACGCGGCAGCCAATTGCGCACAGCAGTCGTGGTGTTGAGTGACCACATTTTATTTTCTTTGAAGGGGTTATTACCCCCTGGAAAGCGATCCGCCAATCGACCAACTACCAACTGGGTTCCTACTGACTGCTCGGTAAACAGAGGCGTGTGTGTGTGTGTGTATGTGTGTGTGTGTGGAGTGCTCCACATCAGGACTTTTGAGCGCAAGTCTGGGCTGACCCTCCAGTGCAGTGCTGATGGAGTCGGTACTGAGGTGCTCTCTTTCTGACAAGACATTAAGCCAAGACCCTGTTCGTATCTGTCCGGGTGGACATTACCTACTGCACTATGTGAAAAGAGAAGGGATTTCTCCCGATCGCCGTCGGGAGGAAATCCGCTGCCTACAAATACACTTCGCATTAAATCCCGTGAAGTGCTTCGAGACACCTCCACAATGCGATGTGTCGGGTGCAAGGATTAAGACGCTGGCGACGATGATAATGATAATAATTATTACTATTATAGCCTCCACCTGGGTTGGTTCCCAAACAGAGAAGACGGACGGGAAGGTTTCACATCTCGCTGGCTTGTGAGGGGCTCGAAAGTCATTCTTCACAGAGTAATGAGACTGGCGAACCCAGGATTCCATTAAGGTAGCGCTTCAATTAATATCATGCATTAGAGAGCGCGGAGCAATTTCCCGGCGTGTCAGTTTTTTGCCGCACTATAATAGGCTGTAAGGACTAATTATACCATCAGAGCTTGCGTTGAATCAACACATCATTAGTGTGGGGCAATCAGACCGGAAGACTTGTTATTTATAAAGTGAAGGGAGGAGACGGCAGATAAACAACGCACACTTTCTCAGTCTCTCTCTCTCTCTCTCTCTCTCTCTCTCTCCCCGTCTCTTTCTGTCTGTCCGTCAGGGGGGTGGAGGGGAGGCGGTGCGAGTGACTGCAAGATATTATCACGAGGCGTAATGTGGAGGAGAGCCAAGGCCACCTCCTTACATCCAATTGCTCTCAAAGAAACACACACAAGAAAAATGTCGCTCAAAACTCTCTCCCCCACCAGTACGGTTTACCAGAATCACTCGGACAGTCAATAACACGTCTTAAAAATCCTCGCAACTTGATACAGCCCCTGATCACATCTTCGAGACGTCTCAAAGCGCTTCACAGGACAGATACCCTGTAAAAGTGTAGCGACTGTATATTTTGTGGGAGAAACGCGGCAGCCAACTTGCGCACAGCAGCGTCCCCACAAACAGTCGCGGATTGAGTGACCAAATCATTTAATCGCTTATTTGAAGGGATTATTACCCCCGGAAAAGCGACCCGCCAATTGCCTAACAACCGGCTTCCTACTTACTGCTGGGTAAGCAGAGGCGAGTATGTGGAGTGAGGAAACTTGGCTAAGGTTTCGCCCGGCCCGGGAATCAAACCCGTGTCCACTCGCTTGCGAGGCGAGTGCTCTAACCACTGAGCTACAGGACCCCAGCCTTTGAGACGTGAAAGGTGCTCTGTAAATGCACACGTCTCTCTTGCGTGGGAAGCCCGAGAGCAGACAAGTCAATAAAAGAGCCAAAGATAGTGGTTAATATTGCTGTATAATTCATCTCCGTGGAGGGGAGGATGCAGTCGAATATTCGCCTTGAAATAAATTATGAATGTGAAGCGAAATTGCTAATTTGGCAACTGCGGGATGGGATTAAGTGTATCACTGTTGTAGTCACTAAGTTATTATCTGACCATTATACCCCTTCCCTTCTGCTCCGAATCATGTGGTCATTCCCACAATGGGAATTACTGCTCAAAGCACAGACAGTGTGGGTATTAGAGGGGTCAGTGCGGGCGGTTAGAGCAGGCAGTGTCCACGTGTTCAAGTGACGTGTGCGTCTGCATGTTTAATGGTGGCATGTTTTCACGTTTTAAGTGATGTTCGTTTGCGCGGGTAAGTGTTTCCAAGGGTTCAGGGTTGGAGAATGTTTCGGCACGGCTGCAAGAGTAGCCCTCCGGCCCCTCACCCGCGGGGGTTTGGGTGAGTGTGCGTACAGATCTCACTCCGTTCCTGGACTCGGACGTGTGACGCAGTGCCGTTGAGAGATTATCCACAGCTCAATCACTAATGACCCCATTTTGTTAACTGCTGCTTTTCTGCACCAAATGAAAACAATCAAAACCAAAAAAAACATACGCATACGATGAACACATCCTCGTATGTACGTCCACCCCTCGGCCTTTAACCCTTAAACTGCCAGCCAGGGTTAATCTCTACCTCAAGTACTGGAGATGATAAACATGAGGTTATCTTGGGAGCTCCCTGTATCACTGGGAATAAAATCACTTAAAGGACAGATGATGATAATAATAATAATAATAATAATCCTTGCGTTTGATACAGCGACTTATTATATTATTGCAGCGTCTCAAAGGGCTTCACAGAATGTACCTTAAATTTAAGTTGACGGTATATTCTGTGGGCGAAACGCAGCGTCGCGCAAACTGTTGTGGATTGAGTGATTCTATTTTAAGGGATTATTGCCCTCAGAAAGCGATCCGCTAACCAGGTTCCTGCTTACTGCGAGGCAACAGAGGCGTGCGTGTGCGTGTGCATGCGTGCGTGTGCGTGTGGAGTAAGGAAAGTTGCCTAAGATTTTGCCCTGCCCGGGAATCGAACCCGGGTCCTCTCGTTTGCGAGGCGAGCGCTCTAACCGCTACGATGCGAGGCTTCACAACTGAGGAGGGACACTGTGTCTCACTGTGTTTTGTGGGTTTAATCCCAGAGCAGACCTCTGAAGCTCAGCCGCCACGCAGCTGCCTCAGTCGGCCCAGCGGAGTCCTCTTGTGTCCAGGATGCCTGATGCTGCCGCCGCCTGCTTTCTTGGTAAGTTTGTGGGTGATTTATTTTACTGTGCGTGGGTGACAGTCAAGGGACAAGGGACATGTGCCAGCCATAGGGATCGGAATCATCATCATAATAATAATCCTTGCATCTAATATAGCGCTTTTATCACCTCAACAACAATAACAACCACATTACATTTGCAGAGCGCCTTTCACGTCGGGAGGACGTCTTCGAGACGGCTCGAAAATATATGTTGTTAGTCGAGTATTATTATTTTTAATTATCGTCAGAGTCCGTTAGACCATTCTGTCCTAAGGTTCCTGAGAATTGCAGAATATTCCTACATTCAGCAGTTAAATTCGTTTCAGAAGCTGTTTCTCTTTAAGACCTATAATAGCTTCCAATTTATCCTTTTTGTTCAGTTAAAAGGCCAACAGTGCTAACTGACAGTCCCACATTGCAATCCACGGTTTCCATGGGTTCACCTAAATGGATGATGCCATTGTGTTTGTTGTACACACTTGCGTCTGTATATGTCTGTGCATAACACACATCCGTGGCTGTGTGTGTCTGTCTATTTTTGTGTCGTTATCTGTGTACGTGTGTGAGTGTGGGATGTGCTGACTTGTGTGTGTGTGTGTGTGTGTGTGTATTTGTCAGTGTGAGTGTATTTGTGGGTAGATTTAACAGTGTGTGTGTCTATATTTAACTGTGTGTGTGTAATTATAAGCGTATTTGATGATGATGTGTGTGTGTGTATAGTTAACAGTGTGTGTGCGTGTGTATTTATCAGTGTGAGTGCATTTGCCGGTACGTGTGTGTGTATTTTCCAGTATGTATGTGTTTGTGTGTGTGCGTGTATTTGCCAGTGTGTGTGTGTGTTTACCAGTGTGTGTGCTCCCAGCACCTCGGGACGTCCTCCCGACGTGAAAGGCGCTCTATAAATGGAATCTTGTTGTTGTTGTTGGTGTCGTGTGTGTGTGTATTTGCCAAGTGTGTGTGTGTGCGTGTGCTCAGACAGTGCCAACACTTCCACGCTTGTAGAGCAAGCATTTTGCTTATTCACCGTGACACATACACACACACACACACACTCATTCACGCCGCCAGAAACCGAGCGCTGAGCGCGGCTCAGTGGGACACGTTAGAGACGATCCACGGGTAGCAGCAAGTTCTACGATAAACCCCTTTGGTGTTAAACACAGACATCAGTACCAGTCTGTGCAACATTACGCAATGCCTTTGGTGAAGTTGATGCGCTTCGGGAAACAGGTTGCTGTTCTGTCAGCAGTGAAAGCAGCTGAAAGCATCTACCACACACCCAGAGGGTTGGTGGAGGAGTGGGGGTGTGTGTTGGTGCTTCAGTCTCCGCCAGACGGTCTGGTGAGTTGATCTCCCCTCCCTTTTCCACCCGCAGATGAGTGGAGCGTTCCGCAGGATGAGCTGGATCCACGCTGTCTGCTCCCGGCTGCCCCTGAGGTGCGTGTTCTTCTGAGCCTCTCAGCGAAAGCAACACTTCACTCCGGCACCAGCAGGTACAGATAGCTCCGTCCTGCCCAACAGGAGAGGTGAGCGAGCGAGCCAGAGAAGGCACCCCTTACCTGTCGCACTCATCAACTCCGTTCCCCCACCCCCCACCCCAATCCCCCCCCCCCACCCCTCCCGAAGGATCGTAAAGAACTCGTCAGTTAAGCACAAGGTAAGAGAGGCGTTCGAGGGTTTCTGCGTTAAAGTAACTGCCTTTCAACGGAATTATGAACAGAAGCTTGTTCTCAAACAAACAGCCTTCCTGGGATGGAGCTTCGCGTTGCCTGGCTTTGCTGGGTCTGTTGGCTTTTCCGACAGATTTAGAAAGGTGGGGTTGTAATTGTAATCCTCCCTCCATCTCCAGCCCTTACTGACTTGTTATTCATCCTGTTGTACAAGCACACCTTCCATTTAATGCCCTGTGGGACCCGCTCACCGATCGCAGCGGATTAGCAGTGGAGGTGCCGAGTGCAATTATCCTCAGATTTCTTTCCCAAAGCCTGGCTCAGACTGTGGGCTGGCAGGGCTGGCAACGCCAGGGTGAGGGTGTGGTGGGAGGGGGCGAGGGTGGCAACCAAGATCAGGCAGCAGGGAAGCTGGCAATGTTTGTATGTGTGGGTGTGTTTGGTGGTGGGGCGGGGTGGGGGTGGGGGTTGAGGCTGGCAACGTGAGGGTGAGTTTGGCAACCCGAGGCTGACAACTTGGGTGTGTTGGGGGGTGGGCGGGGGTGTGAGGCTGGCAATGGGTGTGCACGTGGGGGTGGGGAGGTGAGGGTGTGGCTGGCAATGGGTGGGTGTGTGGTGTGGTGGGTGAGGATGCAGCTGGCAAAGCGAGGGAGGAGAGAGGGCAATGCTTGGCGAGGCTGATGTCCCTTTTGTGAGCGGGTGGGATCCGGGGGGGGGGGGTGGTGCAGATGGTTCTATAAGGACTATTCTGCCTTTTGTCAAATAATCTGCTATTGGGAATCTTCATTGAATAATTCAGTGATGGCAGCCATCTCTAGGTGTGTGCTGAGCTGACAGCAACGCTGGAGGTTAGGCACGTAACACAGCCCTGGGTGTGAGAGCGATTGTGAGAACGCTTGTGACAATGGGTGTGAGGGAGTGAGTGTGACACTGGGTGTGAGGGAGTGAGTGTGACACCGGGTGTGAGAGCGAGTGTGACACTGGGTGTGAGGGAGTGAGTGTGACACTGGGTGTGAGGGAGTGAGGGTGACACTGGGTGTGAGAGAGCAACTGTGACACTGGGTGTGATGGAGTGCGTGTGACTGGGTGTGAAGGAACCCCCGGCCAGGACATGGAATCGCACGGTCTAAGCTGACGCTCCAGTGCAGCACTGGGGGGCGTTGCATTGTCAGAGCTGCCGTCCTTGGGACGAGACGTTAATCCGAGGTCCCATCTGCCTGTAATTAAATATTGTGCAGCCATTTCCACTGAAGCAAGAAATGTGGCCGCATTTCGCCCACAAAATACACAGTCACTACGCTTTACAGTATATCCTGTGAAGCGCTTTGAGACGTCTCAACGACATGACAAGGGGCTATATCAAATGCCAGGATTATTATTATTATTATTATTATTATTGTTATAAACACCAAGGACCTGTCTCTGTTTATGTGGACTTAATATAATAATAATTTTTATAATTATCATGACCTTGTTTCAGAGGAGTTTCCCCTCTCCCTCGGTTTCCTGACCGTCGGTCCCCAGATAAAATCGGTTACTCACTTGAGGATGTATCGTGGGACGTTGCTGTGCATAAATTGTCTGTTGCGTTCGCCTACAAAATCCACGGTAATTGCACTTTACAGTTAAAAACCCAGATGAAGAGGCTTGAGACAACTTGTCGACATGACAGGCGCTGCTTCAAACACAAGGATTGTTATGATAATTTTTATTGTTTGAGCCATTTTCTGCTTTGCTGAGCACCCTGAGACATGAAACTGATGACAGAGGAGAGTTGGAGAGGGGGCGGGGGGTTGGGGTGCGGGGAGAGTGAGTTGCGTTCCCGGGCTAATTGCAGGTTTTAATTAAAGATTAGCTCATGCCCTTTAATGCTTTGCGATCAGCACAGCTCAGCCCGGAGCAGAAACTGGTCCAAATCACACGTACTCTTCTTACTCAGCGTCAGCTGCTTAAACCAGTGGTCTTGTCTGTTAACCCTGCAAGCCAAAGCCCTAACTAACTAACTAACTAACTAACTAACTAACGGGGAGGGTGGTCCTATCTGGACAAGCAGCGGGAAAGCTCGGCCAGACAGAGCTCTCAGGGGCAAGCTCTGTGGTTTTAGCTGGTTGGACTCCAGCAGTTACCCCCAACGCACACTCTGGGCTCCCCCCCCCCCCCCACCACAAGCCAACCTGCGCCTAATACTCTCCGGAATTAGATAAGCAGGGTGCGTCCCCCTAGGGGGAGAGAGGGAGAGAGAGAGAGAGAGAGAGCACTCCATTCCAACCGTCTATGTCTGGGCTTTCCATGTGTGGTGGGAGACTTCGAATTCTCGGCTTGGTTTGGAGACTCTTAAGCAACGGCGATGGGTTTCTTTTTTTTTTATTGCTGTTTTATCTTGTCCTGAACATTAGACCCGGAGGGCACGAAGGGATTATTATGTTGGTCAAGAGCAAACACAATTTTAGGATGTTCAGCGGCTGATTGAATACGAGAGGAGAATAAGAAGCGTGGGATTTGAAGCAACAACTTATCATATTAAAGGTCTCAAAGCATTTTCATGTTGTTGCCTGAAAAGTATTCCTGCGGCTCAGTGGATAGAGGACCCGGGTTCGATGCCCCGGGCGGCGCGAAACATTAGACAAGTACGCCTCTGTTTACCGAGCAGTAAGTAGGAAACCGGGGGCAGCAATTCCTCCAAAAAAACAAAAAAATATGGTCACTCTATCCACGACTGTTTGAGGGTCACTGCTGTGCGCAATTGGCTGCCGCATTTGTCCTGCAAAATGCACAGTCACTCCACTTGGATTATTATTATCATTATACTTTGCAGTACATTGCGTGAAGCGCTTTCCCGCGTCTCAAATGCAAGGACGGGACGGGCCGAACGCGAATTTCTATAGTGCTGTGGAAGGAATCGTGGAGAAGGAACTCAGTAACTTTACCACAACAACAACGACAACTCGCTTTTTGTACAGCGCCCTTCAGCTGCGTCCTTGCCTCAGTCGCGGTGTTAATCGGATACTCAGACAGCTTTTATGCCCCGTTACGTGACTCACTGTCGAGCCGCTGGCGGTCGATTCCACGTACGGGAAGAACAATTCATCCATTTCCTATCCCTGCCGGAAGCTCGTTGATTCGGTTGTGAACGCGCTTCCTCCCGGCCCCGCGCTCACGTGTCCTGCTTCCGTCAATAAGGTCGGCGTCTCCCGACGTTTCAAAGGCTTCGATACGATGCCGAGCCCCCCCCCCCCCACCCCACCCCCCCCCCCTCCGCCTGTTCAGGTGGACTTTAAAGGATTAACGCCAATGGTATTATTATATCAGCGCTCCGCCACTGTCAAGCGCTCCGGGGCGCTATCCTGCATTAGGGGGCGCCACATAAAGTGCAAGTTGTCGTTGCTGCGATAGCAATCCTTGCATCTGACCCGGCGTCACGTCACGTCGTCGAGACACGTCTCAAAGGCGTTTCGTGGGATTGGCTGTAAAGCGGAGTGACTGTGCGTTTTGTGGGCGAAATGGCGCTTTTGGAAAAGAGGAGGGAGTTTCTCTTTCCCCGGTGCCCCGACAACAACAACAACAGCTTGCGTTTACACAGCCCCCCCCCCCCCCCCATGCGCAATCGGCTGCCGCGTTTCGCCCACAAAATACACAGTCGGTTCACTTTTACGGCGTATCCTGTGAAGCGCTTTGAGACGTCTCAACGACGTGAAAAAAAAGGCGCCGTATCAAATGCAAGGATTATTATTATTATATATCATTATTAAACTTGCCTGTGTGAGATTGCGGTGGAGGGGGTGGGGTGTGTGGGGGGGGGGAAAATCTGCCTCTTCAACAGGACAGATCCTCCTGCCATGAAGGGCACACTTTGTGAATCGCTGAGAGGCTGAAATTGCCTGACGCCCACTCCCCGATGGATCCCTTTCACACGCAGCAGCCTCGCCGTGGGTTCAGAGGCAAGAGGGAGTCGAAGATCAGATCGCTTCCATTGTTTGGCAAACAGTGTCTCCGTGGGAGCCAACCCACTGCCGTGTGGGCGGCAGGAGAGGTTGGAAACCAGTTGCTGGGAGCAACGACAACACAGAGAAAGGGAAATGTGTACCTCTTACCGTACATCTTAGTCTTAAGGCGCAGCCGGAGACTGCTGTCGTTTGGTGCATCAGATAAATGCAATGGATGAGTTCTCAATTCATTCACTCAATGCAATTAATGCAACCTCGCTAAGTGGCAGTCTCGCTAGTCCGGTTCCTGAGCCAGGCGTGTGTACGCAGGACTCCAGGGCACTCACTCATGACGACAGCACAGCCCAAGGCTAGCCTGGCTCGTCGGCAGGACCGGCAGGGCAGACCGGTCACTGGGAGCGGGGAGTCAGCTCCTGATAGCACTGCAAGCCAAAGCCCTAACTGACTGGTCCTAGCTGGACAAGCAGCGGGAACGCTTGGCCAGACAGCGGCTCAATGGCCAAGCTATGTGATTTTAGCTGGTTAGACCCAGCAGTTACCCCAAACCTTGGCTCTTGCCAACCTGCGCCTAATACTTTCCGGAATTGGGTAAGCAGAACGCATCCCAGGTTTCGCCCTGCCCGCCTGGGAATCGAACCTGGGTCCTCGCTTGCGAGGCGAGCGCACTAGCCATGACACTACAGGACGAGTGTTCATCTGCAACGAAGGCGGCGTCCTGTTTGTAAGGACTTTGCGTGGCTTTACAAATCCAGCTTTGGGAGTGTCCCTGTGTTTGCAGATGTACAGCAATTACGCCTGGAGGTACCAGGCCATGATTTGCAGGAGTCTGACATTTTCTCATATGCTGTCTGTGTTAGGAGGAGACAATTCTTGACCTCCTTGTCTCCAGTGCCAGATTACATGTGAATTAGA